GCTAAAAAGGCTGTTGCCATTTTTAGTCTGAAACGACCAGGGATAGGCCCTGAACTTCAGGCTTTCGGGCTGAGCCGACAGGGGGCCTGTAAGCCATGGATTGCAGGCTTTCGGCTTGAAATTCAGGCTTTCGGCCTGAAGTTCAGGCTTTTGGCCTGAAAACCGTCGGGCCTGCAAAATGGCCCGTGTGTGCACGCGCTGCATGTAACAGTAGGGCTCTCCATTCTAACGGTATGGTATCTATCATTTCCTCTAGATTCTTTTCGAGGTTGTGGGCTCCCTTGAGATGATGTCTCATTTCTGAGGCCGATGTCCATCTTCGTTCTTCATCTAGCCTGGTGTGACCTATCTTCCAAACTCCCTTCTCTAGCCAGAATGATAGCTTCATAACAGCAAAGGTGGATGGAAACTTGGAAAGTGTAGGTGATGTTTAATCTTACTCCTCTCTGTCTGGCTTTGGATGTATGTAGGGTGTTTGCTTTTGTCTTTTTTTGCTTTGCTGTTTGTGTGTGTGTTTTGTCACCTTCACCATGCAAAACTCCACAATAAATGCATGGTCAGACTCGTACTCATTCACACTTTTCATGCATGTAAACAGCAGCTCAGCAAACTGGCGACATGCGCCCAAGCAAAACTCAGAGATATGGCTTCCGGTTACGAGTTCACTTTCAACTGGCTATGGTGACTCAGCGCCCAAACAACTCATTGTTCACACACACCGGATCTCCCTGGATATCCCACACGCGTAACTCTGAACACTCACACATACACACACACTTCACGCTAACTACAGCTATGGCAGCTATGGCTGCCTCTACCCTATCGCTATACTAAGCTCCTTCTCTCTCGCCCATTGCGTCCTCCGGGCTCACTGCAGACCTCCTTGCACAAGTCGCTGTGGCAGCGCTTCCGCATGGCGCACGCAGGAATGAATGAATGGCTGGGCGCTGCCTCTTGATTTATACTTCGGAAACTCGTTGGTCTGCCCTTTGCCAACGGCCCATGGTGCTCACAGTCCCCCGTGGTACTTGCTGGACCGGACTGGGACTGACTGGACCTTACCGCTGATTGACTGTGGACTCACTGCTATCCTACCAAGGTCGTACTGCGATTGCACTGCAGTTTAGTCCACCACTTACCTCGCCACTTGACCACTTGCCGACCTTCTAGAAGGGCTACAGCTAAGCTTCTGGAACTCACTAAGACTTCTACTCTATAGATCTACAGATCGAACCCCTGCTACCTATGGACCTATAACAGACCTACCAACTGTCTACGAATACACAGGTCACAGGTTCAACTCTCGGGGTCTACACAAATATTGTGCATGGTGAGGGTGAGGTCTAGGGATCGAGCCCTGGGTAGTGCATCTGCTACTGCAAAAAGGTGAAAACCGTTTCACTCCCGCCGTCCTAAATTCGAGGTCCTCCAAGAACATCCTAGTCCAAGGCGGGATCTTTACCCTTCCTGTCACGCTCATAAGCTTTGACTATGTCGGGAGCTGTTTCTTGAAGTTCTGTTCTTGTGAACCAGCGGTCGTCTTCCGGTTCCTGATAGGCAAACCGGACTTTGTATTGCTTCTGGGGACGACCCCTACCTCCTGTTCTAAATACATCCTCATCTACAATGCCTTCTATGTCATGGCTCCCATCCATATCGGGGGGGATCATGGACCTTCTTGAAGGGAATTGTTGGCTTGTGACACACGGCAACAACTTTGAAGCATGGAACACCGGGTAGGTGTGGAGGTGTGCTGGAATCTCAATACTGTAGGACGGTCCATCCTCTCCGCCCCTGACTTCTAGAACCGGCCACGGTCCTGTATACGCAGGCAGTAACTTCTGTGAGATGTTCTCCTCAGGTGCAAACTCTTTAGCCTTGACCCAGACTAAGTCGCCTACTTGAAACTGCGACGGGCGACGGTGCTTATTAGCCTGTTCTATTATTCTATGTTGGGCCTTCCTGAGGTTTTCTACAACGGTTGCTAGTTCTTTCTCATGCTGTATCGCAAACTCCCTAGTACCGGGCGGTAGTCTGTGGATCTGATCCCGGTTCAGTCCTTCGAACGGTCTGCGTGGTCTAAAGGACTTGTGCAATTCGTTGGGAGTGCGGCAGGTGGATAGATGCACGCTGTTGTTGTACACACTAGCTACTTTGGGCAACATCTCGTCCCAGTTTATGTGATCAGGTCTAATGTACATGTGCAGAACTTGCTGTAGGATCTTATTCATCTGTTCTGTCTGACCGTTTGTCTCTGGGTGGCGGCCAAACGACATCAATAGCTTAGATAAGTAGACTCTCATGAGTTCTT